AACACTGTCACAGGCATTTTAATAGTCATACACTGTCCACTGGATGTACCACAACTTAATCATTCTGCAAATGCACCCTAAATAATAATTCTATGATACACATCTTTTGTTCTCTATCTAAAAATATGCCCTTGATGGTTCTTATATCAAGGAATATGAATACTCTGAAGGCTCTTGATACATAGAGCCATTGTAACATAATAGGACATTTTCACCGCATCCTAAGTACTAAGTATTGTAATTTCTTAGTCTAAATTTAGGCCTTCGTTAAATTGTGAGAAATTGTAACATCCTAATTACAAAAGTAAATACTCGTTATAAAAAAAATTCAAACAATGCAAATACATGTGAAATAAAAAAGTCTCTCCTCTGCTTTTCCCTCAAAAGTAGTCACAGTTAAATATATTTTCCATGTATCCTTCTAGACCTTTTTCTATTTTTATTTAGAACACACACACGTATGAATATATTGTGTTACCTTACCAAAAAATGGAATTCAATTTGCCTTTTTGGCTCAATAACATATCCTAGGCATCCATCCAGGCTATGTCAATGCATACAAACCTACCTCTCTTTTTAAAAGTTACAGAACATTCCATAGTATAGAGGCACCAAAATTTCCATTTTTTATTATAAATGACGCTGCAATTGACTTCGTTCATATTAACCTGTGTTCTCTTACGAGAATATTACAGATCCCTTGAGGTGTATCTGCTAGATCAAAGCATGTTTTTTAAAATTTTTATAGCTTCTGTCAAATTGTTTTTTTAAAAAGGTAGATCCAATTTTGCATTCCCAACAAAGTATTAGGTACCTTTCTCTCCACACCTTCAAATATCTTTTTTAATTTTTGCAGATTAGCCCCCGTGAAAAAAAATTTAATTGTTTCATTTTGTTTTTTAACATTTATTTATTTTTGAGAGACACAGAGAGACAGTGTGTGAACGGGTGAGGGGCAAAGAGAGGGATATACAGAAAACAAGCAGGCTCCAGGCTCTGAGCTGTCAGCACAGAGCCCGACGTGGACCTTGAACTCAGGAGCAGCTGAGATCATGACCTGAGCCAAAGTCAGATGCTTAACAAAGCCACCCAGGCACCCCAATCTAGTTGTTTTAATTTTCATTTCCCTAATCACAAGTGATGCTGAAATCCTTTCTCTGAGAACTATTCTATGCTCCAATCATTTAATTGTTCATTCTGTTACTCTTTACCTCTCTGTACACATTACAAGCTTTTCCCCAGGCTATCACCTTGTAAATGTCTTTTGTCACACAAAAATATCAACTTTGATAATGATTAAATTTATTAATCTTTTCCTTACGATTTTGGGTCTTGGTCTTGCCTAAATGTCTACAAAAAACAAATCATATCTTCCAGAATACATCCTCCAACATAATTCCCTTTATTTTCTTCTAAAAACTTTACAGTTTTTCTTTTGTTCTTGAGGGGTTTTTTTTGTTTGTTTGTTTTAGAGAGAGCGCATATATGCACATACTCAAGTAGGGGAGAGAAGCAGAGAAGGGGAGAGAAGCAGAGAAGGGGAGAGAAGCAGAGATGGGGAGAGAATCCTAAGCAGGCTCCACAATCAGCACGGAGCCCAATGCAGGATTTGATTCCACAACCCTGGGATCACAACCTGAGCTGAAATCAAGAGTTGGGATGCTCAACTGACTGAGCCACCCAAGCTCCCCTTGAATTAGTTCTTTAATCTACATAAAACTCATTTTGAATATGGGGAAGTAAAATCTTTCTTCCCAAATAGTCACTTATCCTTACACAATATAATGAACAATAATTTCCCAACTGTGTCAAAATACCAACTTTATTCTACTCTAAATTCCTATATAGAAATAGGTCCTATTACTGGATTCTACTTTGATCTATGTAGCAACCTGCCTATTCCTGCACTCAGCATTTATATTACTGCAGCATTACAGCATGTTTTGATATCTGGTATGGCAAATCCTCTATCATTATTTTTCCATTTAAAACATTTCTTGGCCCTTCTAGAACATTTACTCCTCCAGATGAATTTTAGAAGCAACTTATCAAGTGTCCAGAAGTAATTCTCACTGGAATTTCACGTGAAACTACATTAAAATTACAGTGTAACTTCTAGAATATTTCAGTGTTTACAATGATGCTTTCCCCTCCAATAACATGGAATGTTTGTCCGTTTATTTAGGTTAGCTTTTCAGTTGTTTAGGTAAAGATTTTTCTTCGTAAAGTTTTTGTGCATTTATTTTTAAGCATCTTCTGGTTTTGTTGCTCTTGAGAATAAAATCTAACTTTTCCGTATGACTAATGACAAACTATTTGATTGTTAGTGACAGTACACATCTTTCCACATCTTTAACAAATTATCCAGTGAACTGTCTGTCCACATCCTGTAATCACTTGTGTGTGGACTTATATTATTTTCCTCATTGATCCATGTGAGTTCTTTACATGCTGAAGGTATTAAGTCTTCACTTATGTTTGTCACAAATATTTTCCTACTTTGTGGTTTGGCTTCTAATCCTAGGGTTTTGTTTTCCTTCTCTTCTTATGTAAGTTTTAAATTTTTTGTAGTCTAATCCACTGATCTTTAACTACTAACAGATCTGAGTGCCCCAGAGTTACCAGGATCTAGACCTCTTTCCCTCACAACACCTGCACGGCAGATATTTTCTTCACTTAGAAGATTCTAGTTCAGGGGCGCCTGGGTGGCTCAGTTGGTTACGCGGTTAAGTGTTCAACTTCAGCTCAGGTCATGATCGTGAGATCTGCTGTCGGCACACAACCAGCTTCGGATCCTCTGTCCCCGCCCCCTCTCTGCCTCTCCCCTGCTCGCTATCTCTCTCTCAAAAGTAAACATTAAAAAAATCCTTGAGTCTTCAAAAAAAAAAAAAGATTCTAGTTCAAGTCTGTTTGATTGATTACAAAGTCTTTGCCCACCTCAGCATACAGAACCCTCTTTTCCAGATGTTTAATATCTACTCTCACATTTTCTTTATGATTTAGGGGGCATTCGTGATGATTTATCATTTGCTATACACTCCCATGTGTATTTGGGGGGTGCTGGATAGATTCCAGTGACCTGTACAGATATTATAAAGCCAGCATGACACCGTTTAGAACGTGGCTCTATAACACATTTAATATCAGAGAGACCTTGTCCCACCTCATTACTCATAATTATTCTGTCCAGTTTATCCCAAAATGGATAGTTCTATAATGTTTAAACATCACATCCAAGAATACAGCCTATTTTTCCATTTAAGACATTGTCTCATATCTTTCAGGATATTTATGGTCTCCTCTGTGTAGACTGCACTTATCTTTATAAGGCTGTACTTACATGTTTTACGTTATTTCGTTGCACTGTGATCAGAGCCTGTTTGGGGTTTTTTGTTGTTGTTTTTTTTCTTTTCCATTTTAGTTTCTGCCCGGTTATTTTTGGTATTCAGAAAGCTATAGATTTTATATATGCATTGTGTACCCAGTCACTTCCTCAATTTTTGTCTGATAGTTTTTTGTCATTCTCATTTTTGCAGCTGATGGCATCTACAAATACTTCTTTTCATTTTGGATCCTTCCCTCACTCTTATTCCATGCATTACTGCTTTGATAAAACTTATAAACAGCTGTTAAATAATATCCTAATTTTTAATTTGACTCTAATACCTTTCTATTAAGTACAATGTGGATAACTGGTTTCATTTCTATGTATACTTTAGCATGAAAAAGTGCCTACTTCTTGAAAATAAGAAATAAGGATTTTTTAAATCAAACTATCTATCTGCCCATAGTTTAGTGGCCGTTTGAATTCACTGTGAACTCCAAGGGAAAGATCACCTCTCTTCCAGACAGACTTCTAAAACGGCCAACCTCATCTCCCTGACTTCCACTCTGCCCACCACCTCCACATTCTGCATGTAGCAGCTGGAGTGGCTGTTTAAAAATGCAGATCTGATTATGTCATTCCCCTGCTTCAAACCCAACCCTTGCAATGGTTTCCCATTTCACTCAGAATAAAATAAAACATCCTTAACCTGTCCTACAAGACCCTACATGATCTGGCCCCCTGCCTAGCCACGCTTCCCCCTCACCCACCAGAATCCATCCACAAGCCATTCTTTCAGTTCCTGGAATGGGCAAAGCTCTCTCCCCCTTCAGGGCCTTCCCACATGCCATTCCCCCGCCTGGAAAATTATCCCCGGCTTCACTCTACACTAACACCTACTCACCCTTCAGATCTCAGCTCAAATCTTATTTCTGCAAAAAAGTCTTTCCCGGGCCTTCTTTCCACCATCCAAAATTTGTTCCCCTTTTTATATACACTCTCTCGTAACCGGTACTCCCTAACTTTCCTGACAGATACCAACATTTGTGATTGTACGTGCAGTTGTGTGGTTGTTTACTCTCTGGTTCCCTCCACCCCCATAGATTATAACCTCCAAGAGAACAGGAACAAATTGATTTTGCTGGCCACACTGCAAGCATTCATATGTATCTGAATGAAATAAAAATACCTACAAAACCCCTCCCTGTATTTCTTGCATCTTAAAATACCCACCACGTCATTGAATCGATATTTAAACGGTTAAAACTCTGATACTGCCTGCAAATTCAGTTAGAATACATTTACCCCAAGGACATAAAAGCTAACCTGAATCTGATGCCGCCACAGGAAAATACATACACAAATTTGTATCAGTAGGAAGTTCTGTTTTGCGTAGTGTTGTTTACTGATACTTTATTCACAGTCAACTAACGTATATGTCTTATCTCTTAGAGCATGTACGACACTAGGAAAAATATGCTGTCAAATACTCTTCAAGAACTCTAACAGGTTAACGGTACTTAATAAGAAAATTACAGCAAAATCACAAACTAAAAAGCACTCAGAGTTGGTGATCTCTGTAACAGACACAGCCGGTCAAAAAAGACGTACACCACGCTGCAAATGAAAAAATCCTTTTGGATCACAAAAGCTAATAAAATCAGCATTTACATACCAGTTTACATCCTGCAAAGAACTTTCACACGCATCACGTCACTGAACTGTGAGGAGCAGACCCAGCAGATATTAGCATTTATAGAAAAGGAACCGGAGGCTTAGAGTGACTGTCCTCCTCAAGGTCACAAGACTTGAAAGTAGTAGAGTCATGATTATACTGGGGGAGGGGCAGAGGTCCCACATGTAAATTTCTTAACCAAAGAGAACCCCCATCCTAAAGGCCTCCTCTCTGTAATTAGTGTAGCTCTGTGCTCCCTTCACTAAAATTTCATTTCACCAGAGAACCACCGCCAGAAGAGCTGTTTTAAATAAAGTTAAAATTTAAATGGCCATCAATCTGGGAAACAGCTAAATAAACTATGGTGTACCCAAACTACAGAACGTGATGCAGCAGCTCTTACAAACGAGTCAACACGCCCGATGCTGAAACCGGAAGATAAGAGTGCACCAGTCCTCGCTAAAACAAAGATAATACAAGTACACACGCGGAAACACATTTGAAAAGATCTAGAAGGATACACACCGACCATAAAATAGTTATCATCTCTGGAGACAGGGACCGGTAGTGACCATGTCTGTGTTATTTCCATTTTTACAAAGAAAATGCATTGCTTTACTTATTTAAAAAAAAAAAAAATTTTTTTTTTAATTTAAATTAACCTGTGGGCTAAACAGAAAGGTCACTCTTCTGCTCTAAAAGCTATGCCTCCATAAAGGAAGTAGGGGCCTCTCTAAAAGAGAAGACCAAATAATATAAACGAAAAAAAAACGGTCCCATCCTGTTCAAACAAGAAACTGTCTAAACGTCACAGAACG